TGTGTATTTTTTGGGGGCGGGCAGGAATTTCCCCCATCTAAAGTGGTGTTTCATTTTTCTGCCATGGTTCTGAAATTTCAGCATGATGTGTCTGGGGTAGATCTTGTTTCCATTCATCTTTGTAGATACTCCCTTTCGTTCTCTGGACATTTTTTCCCCGTATAATTTGAGTGTCTCATCCCTTCTGTTTTCTCATCCTTTCCTTTGGGAACTGTTAGATGTTGAAAATTTTGGATCTAGTCTCTGTTGTTTAACTTTTCTTCCCCAAGTTTTGCATCCTTACATACAGCATTGTGGGAAAATCCCTCGGCTTCATTTCCCAGGCTTGTTCTTCATCTGTATCTGTTCTGCTGCTCCATTAGCCAGCTGCTGAGTTTCTTAATGGGACTGTAATGATTCCCACCTTCTTTCTGGTTCTTTTTCTTAACAAGTTGTTGTTCAGGTGTACAATTTCCTGTTTTAGCTCCTGAGGAGAAAATAGACCTGTTGTCTTTCTTTCTTTCTTTTCTTTTTTTCCTTTTCTTTGCTTTTCTTACCTTTTCTTTTCTTGTAAACTTTACGCCCAACATGGGGCTCAAACTCAGGACCCTGAGATCAAGAGTCGTATACTCTACCGACTGAGCCAGCCAGGTTCCCCCAAAATGGACCTGTTTTTATTAGAGTCCTTTCTTTTCTTTCTTTTATTTTAAGATTTATTTATTTATTTTAGAGAGAGAGAGCGTGGCGGGGAGAGGCAAAGAGAGAGGGAAACTCAAGCAGACTCCGTACTCAGTGCAGAGCTGATGTGGGGCTCAATCTCACGGCCCTGAGATCACAACCTGACCTGAAACCAGGAGCTGGACACTCAGCTGACTGCACCACCCAGGCACCCCAAAGAGTCCTTTCTTCTAAAGCCTCCTTTTATTTGCTTTAGTAACGGTTTCCTTTGTTGTTACTTCTCTTGGCTTGGTTTGGTGCTGTTTGATGATATTTGGTGAGACAAGTACATAAAAACAGTTTAGAAAGACTTCCGGCAAAAATAAGAAAAGGGCCTAAATGAGAATATTTTTTGCTACTTTGCTCCCTAGCATTGGATGAGTTAGGCTCTCCTGTAAAGACATCCAGTCCATGTAGTTATGCTGGATACATCTGTATTAGAGCTGTCTTCAAGTTAATCAGTTTTTTGTTCATTCACTGAGTATTATTTAGTGCTTCCCACATACTAGGCATTGTACGAGGTGCTAAAGATTATTAATGCTTATATGGAAAATCATTGTCTAGCATAATTGTGAGATAAAAAGCAATTAGGATATATTGAAGGATATATCATATAATTTAGTGAAGTGTTTAATTGTCAAGAACATAATCTGGAAATATGGCCGGGATGAAGTCAGAAACAATTCACTGCACAGCTTAAAAAGAGTTCCGTCTTCTAAACTCTTAGAAGTTACTAATGGGTATCTTCAATTACAATCATCACTAGCACAAATCAAATGTTCAATAGTAAAAGACTCCAAAGTAGACTGATATTTTAGTTATTTTCTTTTTTTACATTTTATTTTATTATGTTATTTTAGTCACGATACATTACATCATTAGTTTTTGATGCAGTGTTCCATGATTCATTGTTTGCCTATAACACCCAGTGCTCCATGCAGTATATGCCCTCCTTAATACCCATCACCAGGCTAACCCATCCCCCCACCCCCCTCCCCTCTAGAACCCTCAGTTTGTTTCTCAGAGTCCATAGTCTCTCATGGTTCATCTCCCCTCCAATTTCCCTCCCTTCATTTTTCCCTTCCTACTATCTTCTTCTTCTTTTTTTTTAACATATAATGTATTATTTGTTTCAGAGGTACAGGTCTGTGATTCATCAGTCCTACACAATTCACAACGCTCACCACAGCACATACCCTCCCCAGTGTCTATCACCCAGCCACCCCATCCCTCCCACCCCTCTTCACTCCAGCATCCCTCAGTTTGTTTCCTGAGATTAAGAATTCCTCGTATCAGTGAGATCATATGATACTTGTCTTTCTCTGATTGACCTATTTCACTTAGCATAATACCCTCTAGTTCCATCCACGTCATTGCGAATGGCAAGATTTCCGGTTTTTTGATGGCTGCATAATATTCCTCTCTGTGTGTGTGTGTATGTGTGTGTGTGTGTGTGTGTGTGTGTGTGACATCTTCTTTATCCATTCATCTGTTGATGGACATCTTGGCTCTTTCCATAGTTTGGCTATTGTGGACATAGCTGCTATAAACATTGGGGTGCACGTACCCCTTCGGGTCACTACATTTTTATCTCTGGGGTAAATACCCAGTAGTGCAATTGCTGGGTCGCAGGGTAGCTCTACTTTCAACTTTTTGAGGAACCTCCATACTGTTTTCCAGAGTGGCTGCACCAGGTTGCATTCCCACCAACAGTGTAGGAGGGTTCCCCTTTCTTCGCATGCCCGCCAACATCTGTCGTTTCCTGACTTGTTAATTTTAGCCATTCTCATTGGTGTGAGGTGGTATCTCATTGAGGTTTTGATTTGGATTTCCCTGATGCCAAGTGATGTTGAACACTTTTTCTTTTAAATTTTTTATTGTTATGTTAATCCCCATACATTACATCATTAGTTTTAGATGTAGTGTTCCGTGATTCATTGTTTGTGCATAACACCCAGTGCTCCATGCAGAACGTGCCCTCCTCAATACCCATCACCAGGCTAACCCATCCTCCCACCCCCCTCCCCTCTAGAACCCTCAGTTTGTTTTTCAGAGTCCATCGTCTCTCATGGTTGAACACTTTTTCATGTGTCTGTTGGCCATTTGGACGTCTTCTTTGGAAAAATGTCTGTTCATGTCTTCTGCCCATTTCTTGATTGGATTATTTGTTCTTTGGGTGTTGAGTTTGATGAGTTCTTTATAGATTTTGGATACTAGCCCTTTATCTGATATGTCATTTGCAAATATCGTCTCCCGTTCTGTCGGTTGTCTTTTGGTTTTGTTGACTGTTTCCTTTGCTGTGCAAAAGCTTTTTATCTTGATGAAGTCTCAGTAGTTCATTTTTGCCCTTGCTTCCCTTGCCTTTGGCGATGTTTCTAGGAAGAAGTTGCTGCGGCTGAGGTCAAAGAGGTTGCTCCCTGTGTTTTCCTTTAGGATTTTGATGGACTCCTGTCTCACATTGAGGTCTTTCATCCATTTGGAGTCTATTTTTGTGTGTGGTGTAAGGAAATGGTCCAGTTTCATTCTTCTGCATGTGGCTGTCCAATGTTCCCAATACCATTTGTTGAAGAGACTGTCTTTGTTCCATTGGACATTCTTTCCTGCTTTGTCGAAGATGAGTTGACCATAGAGTTGAGGGTCCATTTCTGGGCTCTCTATTCTGTTCCATTGATCTATGTGTCTGTTTTTGTGCCAGTACCATACTGTCTTGATGATGACAGCTTTGTAGTAGAGCTGGAAGTCCGGAATTGTGATGCCGCCGGCTTTGCTTTTCTTTTTCAACATTCCTCTGGCTATGCGGGGTCTTTTCTGGTTCCATACAAATTTTAGGATTATTTGTTCCATTTCTTTGAAAAAAGTGGATGGTATTTTGATGGGGATTGCATTGAATGTGTAGATTGCTCTAGGTAGCATTGACATCTTCACAATATTTGTTCTTCCAATCCATGAGCATGGAACGTTTTTCCATTTCTTTGTGTCTTCCTCAATTTCTTTCATGAGTATTTTATAGTTTTCTGAGTACAGATCCTTTGTCTCTTTGGTTAGATTTATTCCTAGGTATCTTATGGTTTTGGGTGCAGTTGTAAATGGGATCGACTCCTTAATTTCTCTTTCTTCTGTCTTGTTGTTGGTGTATAGGAATGCCACTGACTTTTGTGCACTGAATTTATATCCTGCCACTTTACTGAATTCTTGTATGAGTTCTAGCAGTTTTGGGGTGGAGTCTCTTGGGTTTTCCACATAAAGTATCATATCAACTGCAAAGAGTGAGAATTTGACTCCTTCTTTGCCAATTTGGATGCCTTTTATTTCTTTTTGTTGTCTGATTGCTGCGGCTAGGACTTCTAATACTATGTTGAATAGCAGTGGTCATCGTAGACATCTGTGCCGTGTTCCTGGCCTTAGAGGGAAAGCTCTCAGTTTTTCCCCATTGAGAAAGATACTCGCTGTGGGTTTTTCATAGATGGCTTTTATGATATTGAGGTATGTACCCAAATCCCTACACTCTGAAGAGTTTTAATCAAGAAAGGATGCTGTACTTTGTCAGATGCTTTTTCTGCTTCTATTGAGAGGATCATTTTTGCCCTTGTTCTTTCTTTTATTAACGTATTGTATTACATTGATTGATTTGCGGATGTTGAACCAACCTTGCAGCCCAGAAATAAATCCCACTTGGTCGTGGTGAATAATCCTTTTAATGTCCTGTTGGATCCTATTGGCTAGTATTTTGGTGAGAATTTCTGCATCCAGGTTCATAAGGGAAATTTTATTTTCTTAAGGGTTCTTCATATCTTTATAAAACCCCACTGTCATGATTATCCTTTAACAAATTGGTTTCTTCAATATGCCGTGACTGAGACCTGGGAATCCTTTGTATGGACGGCACTGATTTGGAATTGGACAGTTACCTTGGATTCACGTTGGATGGGTATCATCCTGGCACTGGGAAGTTGCATGCAATGGGGATTCATGAGAGGACTTCCTGTTGACTTGATAAAAATGTCTTTATGTCCCACTATCAGTATTCGCCAACACATGGATATGAGTTAATCAGCAATTCACCCTACTTTTTTTTGTCTTCAGTCTGTGAGGTTCTTACCTTGATAATACTTTTTCCTAGGTAGGGGTTTTTTCATTTTCCAAAGGGAAAATTTACTTTGAACTTTTTCTCTTTTTGGAAAACTTTGAAGTGACCAGATGACATTTTTGAGTCTTGGAATGTTCCTTTTTATCGACTGTCAGGTTTTGGTGTGAATAGCCTCATGGAGACATGGGAGTAATCCCTGACCTCTTGTCTGTCACAGATCCCGGATTACAGGAATGCGGTGATCGTGGCCAAATCTCCAGCCTCGGCCAAGAGGTAGGCGGGAGCTCACCACTAATCCTCGGGTCCACATGGAGAATCATCTCCCCGATCGAATCCTGGACGCTCTGGATTCTACCTCAGTGGTTCCCACTGGTGTCCCTTGTTTTTATTCTATGGGCTGATAGTTTAAAGATTGTCTGCTGACTCCATTTGAAAAATGATGATATATTTTCCTCTTTTTTTTTTCAATCCCAATCTGTGCCCACCAGTCAAAGACATGCAGGTATCGGGAAGCCTGACCTAATGCTTCTCTCATTTCCAGATTGGCAGCCACTGGTGGACCTTCACATCCAAGGTGTTTAAAATCCATGGTGTTTACAGTACCAGTAAATATACTTTTAGTTGTTTATTGCCTTTTATTACAAGAACTCAGTAATTTATTAACAGAATCGTATCCAGCCGAGAGGCCACTTCTTGGTATGTGTTAAAAAGTGACATTTTACAGAACAAAAACACCCGGAGGCAGTGCTGAGAGTTACATGTAAGCTGGAGTAGCTGATAAATCAGTAATACAATATTTAAAGTGGTTTAGGGTTGAGAGGATTTTATATACCCATGTTTTCTGGAGAAGCCACTTTGTGGGAAAGGGAGAGAACAAAAGCAAATGTAGGAAGAAAGGAAAAAAGCTCCCCCCCTTTTTCTTCTTTTTTTAGATAGGGAGAGATTATTAGGGGGAAGGGAGAGAGAGAATATTAAGCAGGGTCCACGCCCAGCGCAGAGCCCAGTGTGGGGCTCAGTCTCACAACCCTGCAATCATGACCTGAGCCGAAATCAGGAGTCAGATGCTTAACCGACTGAGCCACCCAGGCGCCCCTAAAAATGCTCTTTTAAAATTATGTCCCGCGATTGAATGCCTTTGCTCACTGGATCCCTGTGAAGCCCTGCAGAATATAAGAAAACATAGGTACCTCCATCCTGGGTCCCGCAGGCTGATGATATTGAAGGATGAGGGAGAGCTTGCAGACGGTAAGCCAGTGATTTAAAAGGCATTACAAGCAGTTTTCCATTATAAATTACGAAGGACATTAGGATATTAAATAAATTAGGCTGGCACTTGGATAAAAACATAAAGTCGCCTTGTCTGGTGCAGCCAAGGCTGTGCCCACACCACACTTCCTTCGAGAAGCTCTATCAGCAGAGTCTTGTATCGTCCATTTGAGGAAGTCATAGTAAACCATGACTCGTTTTGGAGTATAAACCTGTCAAACACTTTTCTGGGCATTGCGCTGGATCAATTTTAATGTAGTAATTTGTTTTTCTCTAATATATAGGCTTTCAGTTGTTGTTAAGGTGAAAATCATGTAAGGTATAATTAATCATTTTAAAGTATACAGTTCGTTGGCAGTTAGGGCCTTCACAATGTTGTGCAGGCACCACCTCTCTCAGGTTTCAAAGCTTTCTCATCACTCCAGAGGAACACCCCATGCCCATTAAGAAATCACTCTCCATGCCTGCCGTTCCCCCTGCTTGGGCTCTCTCTCTCTGACAAATAAATAAAATCTTAAAAAAAACACACACAGGTAAAAGACAACATACAGAACGGGGTAAAATATTTGCCCCTTCTCTCCCCAGCCCCTGGCAACCACGAATCTGCTTTCTGTCTCTGTGGATTTGCCTATCCTGGACGTTTCGTATAAATGGAATCATATAGTACGTGGCATTTTGAGTATGGTTTCTTTCACGTAGCCTCCTGTTTTCCAGGTTCATCCATGTCGTAGCGTGTATCAGTCAGTCATTTCTTTTTACAGCTGAATAATCCCCACTGTGTGGATAAGCCATACTGTTTATCCATTCATGTATTGAAGGACATTTGGGTTGTTCCCACATTTTGGCTGTTATGAAGACTACTGCTGTGAACATTTGTGTACACGTTGCTGTGTCGATGTATGTTTTCATTTCTCGTGGATGTGTACCACGGATCGAAAGTGCTAGGTATATGGTAATTCTATGCTAACGTTTTTGAGGGACCGCTGAACTACAGTGGCTACACCATTTCACATTCCCACCAGGAATGTTCAAGGGTTCCAGACTTTCCACATCCTTACCAACACTTATTTTCTGTTTTATTATTATTATTATAATTATTATTATTTTTTAAAGATTTTATTTATTTGACAGAGAGAGACACAGCAAGAGAGGGAACACAAGCAGGGGGAGGGGGAGAGGGAGAAGCAGGCTCTCCACCGAGCAGGGAGCCCGATGTGGGACTCGATCCCAGGACCCCGGGACCATGACCTGAGCCGAAGGCAGACGCTTAATGACTGAGCCACCCAGGAGCCCCTATTATTATAATTATTATGGCCATCCCAGTGGGTGTGAAGTAGTCTCTCACTGTGTGTTTTTTTTAAAAAGATTTTATTTATTTTTGTGAGAGAGAGGAGTTCTTTATATATTCTGGATACTGGGTCCTTTTCAGATAGAGGATTTGCAAATATTTTACCCCATTCTGTATGTTGTCTTTTACCTGTGTGTGTTTTTTTAAAGATTTTATTTATTTGTCAGAGAGAGAGAGCACAAGCAGGGGGAATGGCAGGCAGAGGGAGAAGCAGACTCCCCTCTGAGCAGGGAGCCCGATGCGGGGCTCGTTCCCAGGACCCTGGGATCATGACCTGAGCTGAAGGCAGACGCTTAACCGACTGAGCTACCCAGGCATCCCTCTTTTACCTGTCTTGATAATGTCCTTTGACACACAAAAGTTTTTAATTTTTATGAAGTCTGGGTTAGCTGTGTTGTTACTGCTTTTGCTTCTGGCATCATATATAAGAAACGATTGCTAAATCCAAGGTCATTAAGTTTGCCCCTGTGTTTTCTCCCAGTGCTTTAGTTTTAGCTCTTATGTTTGGGTGGCTGATCCATGTTGAGTTCATTTTTGTATATGGAGGGAGGTGTCGGGGGCCAGCTTCTTTCTTTTCCACGTGATTATCTGGTCATCCAGCACCATTTGTTGAAAAGACTATTCTTTCCCCCTTGAATGGCTTTGGCATTCTCGTCCAAAGTCAGTTGGCCGTAGATGTTTGTGTTTATTTCTGGATTCTCAGATCTGTTCTGTTGTCTGTGTGTCAACACCACACTGTTTTGATTACTGTAGCTTTGTAGTAAGAATCAGATCAGAACACCCACAAGTAGATAGAAGTGGGAGTACTCTCCCTGTGAGTCCTCTACTGACACCAGGTGGGAAGTGGTCTTCTTACCACCGGGCTGGTGAGGCTCCTGACCCCACGAGGCCTCCCCTGACACCACCTCAGAGGGGAGAGGGAAAGGCACCTTTTACTGCCGAGTGGGGTTGGAAGTCCAGGGTTCATGCTGCACTGACCCTGAGGGGGTGGGGGATCATTACCGCTCGGTAGGGATGAAAGTCCCAGCTCCCTACTTGGCCTTCTCTGAAACCGCCCTATTGGAGGGTTTGGGGCTCATCATTATAGCCTGGCAAGTGAGGAAGGGTAGACCCCCCTACTTGACCTGTGCTTATGTCCGGAGTGGTGTAGCTGGCTTTTTCTGTGCAGTTGGCCAGAGAAGGGCAGTTACTGTGTTAAAGTTTTCTGACTTGGGAGGCTGCCCCTTTCTTGGTCCTTTGGCTGGAGAAAGCAGGCTTTTGTTTGGGCTTTTTTTGGTATGTGCCTGTTGGCATTTTGGGGTTGCCTGCTTCTCCAGCTGCAAGTCTGTGATGATGAGACAAAAAGACCACCAGACTGACCACCTTGTCGTTCCAACAGCCTCAAGGTCCCCAGCCAGTCTTTTTTCTCCTCTCCACCTTTAGAGTCTTCTTACATTTGTTTCATATATGATATCCAGGGTTTTGGTTGTACTTCGTGGGAGGACTACTCTGTCTTAGCGGAAAGAGAAGTGGCAGCAGTGCATTTTGATACCTTTTTGCCCCCTAAATACCCGAAGAATATGATGAATTTTCCTTTGTCTCACCCATATGGATAGGCTTCTCGTAACTTCTGTAATACTTGCTTTATATCTAATCCCATTTGTTGATGAGATTTTATCATTGCAGTAGCCTTTGGCTCAGTTTATTTGGCTTTTGTTAGTATAGTTGACTCTTGAGCAACACAGGTCTTAGGGCACCGACCCCCCCCCCGTGCTTCAGAAATCCACGCATAACTTTTGACTCCCCCAGAACTTAATTACTAACAGACTACTGTTGCCTAGAACCTTACTGAGAGCATAAACAGTCGATTAACGCATATTTTGTCATTTGTATACTGTATTCTTACTCCAGGTAAGACAGAGAAAAGAAAGTGTTATTAAGAAATGGTAAGGAAGAAAAAATACATTTACAGGATTGCACTGTATTTAAAAAAAAAAAATCCACTTATAAGTGGACCAGTGCAGTTCAAACCTATGTTGTTCAAAGGTCAACTGTACTACAGTGTTTGTCTTTTTTTTTTTTTAAGATTTTATTTATTTATTTGGAGGGGGGAAGCACAGAGGGAGAGGGAGAAGCAGACTCCCCTCTGAGCAAGCAGCCCGATGTGGGGCTCGATCCCAGGACCCCCAGATCACAACCTGATCCAAAGGCAGACATTTAACCGACTGAGCCACCCAGGCGCCCCCAGTGTTTGTCACCTATCCATTCAGATGTTTATTGTGCCAGGTCTGATGAGGCCTAAGAACACTCCCTGAGGGAGCTTATATGTAGCGTCAGATGTTTTCGCTACTATTGTGGTTGGAGCGTGTGTGTCCCCCCCACAAAATTCATCTTGAAATCCTAACCCCCAATATAATGGTATTAGGAGGTGAGGCCTTTGGAAGGTGATTAGGTCATGAAGGTGGAGCCCTCATGTCTGGGATTAGTACTCTTGTGAGAAGAGTCAGGTGCTTGCCGTGGTTCTCTGTTCTCTGCCCCATGAGGGTACCGTGAGCAACATGGGCCGTCTGCAAACCGGAAGGCAGGCCCTTATCAGGCACCGGCTCTGCCGTGCCTTCATCTTGAGCTGCTAGCCTCCAGAACTGTGAGAAATACATTTCTGTTGCTTAAGCACCCCCCAGGCTGTGTATTCTGTTACAGGAGCTGGTATGAAGACATCTATCTACGTTACCTCATCTGATCTTCTCTGGCTAGGAGGTCAGCATTTATTATCTCTCATAGACGAGAGGGGTTGAGAAAGTGATCCACGGTGATTCAGCTGTATGTTGTTTACTGGGAGGTAGTGGGGCCACTAATCACTTCTTAGGGTGTTCTCCACACCAGTGATTATGGGATTTTGGGTGTTGGCCAAATAGGATTGAGATGGACTTGCCCATCCACTCAGTACATGTGTAAGTGCTACTTAGACTTTGAGAAATAACAAAATGGGAGATCTAACACTGAAGTTAAGTCTTACTGTAAAGCTGAAGCGACCGTGATTATGTAGCATTGGGATAAAGATAGAAAAATAGAGTAGTGGAACAGAATCGAGTCCAAAAACAGATCTATGTGTATCTAGAATACTGGTTTCCAGCAAAGGTGCAAAGCAGTGCAACAGAGAAATGGTAGTCCGTTTCATGAATGGTGTTGGAATGATTGGATATTTACGTACAAAATAATGATTTTGAGTCGTATTTCACATCATATACAAAAATCAGGGCGCCTGGGTGGCTCAGATGGTTAAGCGTCTGCCTTCGGCTCAGGTCATGATCCCAGCGTCCTGGGATCAAGTCCCGCATTGGGCTCCCTGCTCCTTGGGAGCCTGCTTCTCCCTCTGCCTCTCTCTCTGTCTCTCATGAATAAATAAATAAAATCTTAAAACAAAAACAAAAACAACAAAAATCAACTGAAAGTGAATCCTGTAACTAAATGTAGAACCTAAAACTATAAAACTTCTAGGGGAAAACGGGGGAGAAAAATCTTTGTGACTTTGCTGGACAAAAATTTTTTAAATAAGACACCAAAAGTACATTTTATAAGAAAAAAATTGTTAAACATCATCAAAAGTAAAACTACTCGGGCGCCTGGGTGGCTCCGTTGTTAAGCGTCTGCCTTCAGCTCAGGTTGTGGTCCCGGGGTCCTGGGATTGAGTCCCACATCGGGCTCCCTGCTCGGCGGGAAGCCTGCTTCTCCCTCTCCCACTCCCCCTAAAACTACTTTTCAGAAGACATTACTAGGAGAATGATAGGAGAAGGCTCAGATTGGGAGAAAATATTTGTAAAGCATGTGCTTGATAACGAACTTGTTATATTCAGGGGCACCTGCCTGGCTCAGTCGGAAGAGCGTGAGACTCTTGATCTTGAGATCATGAGTTCAAGCCCCATGTTGGGTGGAGAGATCACTTAAAAAGTTAAATAAATAAACTTAAAAAAAAAAAACAACTTACATTCAGAAGATATAAAGAATTCCTAAAACTTCGTAAGAGAACTAGCAACCCAACTAAAATTGGCAAAAGATAAACAGACCCTTTATCAAACTATATATTCAAATGGCAGATAAGAACATGAAAGATGTTCAGCACTGTTTGTTATGAGGGAAATCCCGACGGAAAGCACAGTGAGGTACCACTAGGCACCATTAGAATGGATAGCATTTGAAATCGCCCACACCACGTGTTGGTGAGAACATGGAGGCCCCAGGATCCTCATGCACTGCTCAGGGGAATGTAAAATGGTATAACCAGTTTGCAAAGCAGTCTGGTTGTTTTTTTAGAGAGTTAAATATATGCCTTACCTTATGATCCAGCCATTCTGCTCCTAGGTTTTTACCTAAGAGGAAGGAAAGCGTGAGTCCATGCAGAGATCTGTACATGAATGTTCAAAGCAGTTTTGTCATGGTTCAGAACTGGAAATAACTCAATGTATCAAGTAAATGAACAAACTCTGGTAGACCCACATAATGGACTGTTGCAGTGTGACGGGGTGACCTGTTGATAGGCCATGTAATGTGGACGAATCTCCAAAATGTTATCCTTAGTGAACGAAGTAAGACAAGAAATGATGACATACTCCGATTCCACTTAGGAAATTCTAGAAAAGGTCAGACTCTGGTGCCAGAAAGCAGATTGTTGGTTGCCTAGTTCTGGAAGGAGTTACTAAGGGGCAAAAGGACATGTCTGGCAGCGATAGATATCTTCATTGTCTTCGTCGTGCTAACGGTTTTCATGGATGTGGCATACATCAGAGCTTGAGATTGTACGGTTTAAATATGCACAGTTTGTTGGGTCTCACTTATATCTCAGTAAAACTTAAAAATTGACGCTTATGGCTTTGAGGAGTATTTAATGCCCTTTGCCTCCTGTGGTTGTTCTCACTGTTAAGTGGGTGGCAAGGTGGATTAGCAGTTAGAAGCGAGGAAGATGCGGCTTAGCAGAGTTAGCGAGTGCAGGCGCAGCTAGCCCGCTGAGCGCAGACCAGGCTGCTGTCTGGCCACTGGTGCCCCCTGCGAGAGGGATGTGCTCATCACCTGGGGTCCCCATGCTTTGTCCCGGATCCTAGGACTCGGAGATTATTTTCTCTCTCTTTTCATTAACCCTCTCGGAAACTACACTGGTTGTCTGTTCTCGTATGTTCCTCCCGTGAACGTCAGACAACGGAAGCCGTGTGCTTTCTGAACCGTGTCTCATGCTCTCCCTCAGGGCACAGTCTTTCGCTGAGCGCCTGCGCCTGGGAATCGCGGTGATTCACGGAGAAGCACAGGACGCCGAGTCCGACCTGGTGGATGGACGGCACTCCCCGCCCATGGTCAGGAGCGTAGCTGCCATCCACCCCAGCCTGGAGATCCCCAGTAAGTGTGCCGGCCCCTCTTTGTCACTCTCCTCTTTGCTTTTAAGGCTGCCTGAATGTATTGTCTTCCCACTGTGAATGGCCTCTTCTCTCTTTGTTTTTTTTTAAGTGGGCAAAAACGGATTAATACCCAGTTGTAACAAGTGCATTTCTGATAGCCCTGTGGATCGTAGAGCCTTCTAGAAGCAGTCTGTGTGATCATAGCAAGAAGTAGGAAAAGGCTCAGTTCTGCCATTTCAGAGAATTTCATCCATTCACTCAGCAATATATCCTAGAGGAGAGTTTAACACGAGCAAAAAACTTTGTGCATATTATTCACTAATAGTGTTACTTTGAATGCAGAATATTGGAAACGTCTAAATGGCTTAGCAGAGGGTAGGCCCTGATAAATTATCTTGTATCAGCACACCTAATTATGCAGCCCACTGAAATAATTAAGCCTAACTGGATACAAGAGAAAAATCTGGAATATATGGGAATCGGCAGAATACAAGAGTGTATACCTGGGCTTGTGTGAGGCCCCGGAGGGAATACTAAAGGTGACAATATGGTGATGGGGTGGGGCAGTTATGTGTGAATTTGTTTGTTTTTAAGAAACTTCCTTTGTGCTTTACTAACATCTTTTCAATTAAAAACAAAAAATACTGCCTTTGGGCGCCTGGGTGGCTCAGTTGGTTAAGCGACTGCCTTCGGCTCAGGTCATGGTCCTGGAGTCCTGGGATCGAGTCCCGCATCAGGCTCCCTGCTCGGCGGGGAGTCTGCTTCTCCCTCTCCCGCTCTCCCCTCTTGTGCTCTTTCTCTCTCTCACTCTCTCTCTCAAATAAATAAATAAAATCTTAAAAAAAAAAAATACTGCCTTTGAGTCTGTTGGGGAGGAAAAACTTTGCCCTCTTTAGATTCATGCTTACGGGCCTGCAAATCTCACAAAAGATAGATTAGCACAAGAAAAGACAGGGTTTAGGATTGTGGGGGATCTTAACAGGGGAAGCTGGAAAACAGGTGACTTTTAGGAGAGGTGAAGGGCCCTTAGCACAGAAGGGAGTAGGATGGTTTTGTTACCGCGTCTGTGTGGGTGTGGTGCTGACTTCTAGTCTAGGTGGTAAGTTAGTCTTCCCTGGTTGTTCCTGGGAGGGGACTTACGACCTTTGAATTCTTTCGAGTTCTTTTGGGGGGTTCTGCTTTTAGACCAGAAGGGATTTCAGGAGCTCCAGTGTCTTCAGCTCAGAATCATTTTTATGCCACCGTGGCATATTCTGGACCCCTTCACGTTCTTGCTTTGCACAGGAGTTTGCTTGTTTGCAAATAGAAAACACTTGAGGGGAGGAAAGCTGAATTGGGACTGCACCTGCAGATCTCGGTGGGCTGGGGTGGAGAGAGGCAGCGTTCAGGCGTCGGTTAGATCAGGATGCCAGGACAGCCCGCAGGGCAGAGGGCAGGCTCTGGAGGCAAGGGCTGGGGCCTGTGTCTGGCCATGGTGTGACCAGGAAGGACACCACCCTGACTGCTGGAAGGTCCTGGGGGAAAAGATGGGGGTAAGGTGGCAGGAGTCTGCTGGAGCGGAAGGGAGGATCTTAAATGCCAGTTCATATACTTGCGTTACAAAAGGCTGCAAAGTTCTCTGGAGCTGGGGGCAGGTGTCTTCAGAAGTCCAGGCCTGCATTGGGTGTTGGGATAGATTGCAGGGAAGAGAGGCAAGAGATAGGGAGGACAGATTTGGGAGGCTGATGAAGTTACATGGATGCACAGTGGGAGGGCTTTGATCTCGGGCTGGGCTGTGCTGTCCAACCCAGCGGCCGCCTGCCCGCTGGAGTGGGGCGAATGGGAGCCGAGGTGTGCCGGGAGTGTGAAGGACACGCACTCTTGATGTGAAAACCATAATGTGAAAGATCTTTGTTAATCGTGTTTTTATTGAGTACATGTTGAAATGATATTTTTGATTAAATAAAATGTATTAAAATTAGTTCCATATATTTCCTGATACTTTTGTAATGTGGCTTCTAGAGAATTTAAAATGACATCTGTGGCTTACATTTGTGACTTAGCACACATATATCACTGCTCTGGGAGTCTAGCAATGGGCTCATTGGACAGGAAGGCCTGTGCCTCTCCCATTCCATCTTGGGAGATGGCCCTCTCCCACTGTGATGGGAGTTTTAAAGAGAAGAGAGAGGGGCACCTGGTGGCTCAGTTGTTAAGCGTCTGCCTTCGGCTCAGGTCATGATCCCAGGGTCCTGGGATCGAGTCCCACATTGGGCTTCCTGCTCAGTGGGGAGTCTGCTTCTCCCTCTGACCCTCACCCCACTTGTGCTCTCTCTCTCAAATAAATAAAATCTTAAAAAAAGAAAAAAGGAGAGAGAGCTAGGGATGGAGCCAGGGTTCGGGATTTGCTAATCAGGCCCCACATTAGCGCGTGCACCCCACTGCAAGGCTGCTGGGCTCTCAGGCCTGTGGCTGGCCTTCCTTTCAGAGCCGGTATCTGCTCAGTGAGGGGCTCGTGTTGGGCAGGGCTCTACAGGGATGAGCCCCTTCCCTGAGCTCAGGGGGAAAGCACGTTCCTATTCAGCTTTGCAATTATGTCAGCTACGTTCAGGAACGTGTCAGCAGTCTTCACATGAACCAGCTCCTTTTAACTTCTGGGCTTTAGCTTTTTTTTTTTAATTTAAGATTTATTTATTTATTATTATTATTATTATTTTTTTTTAAGATTTTATTTTATTTTTTTTAGAGAGCGAGCGAGAGAGAAACAGCATGAGAGGGGCAAGTGTCAGAGGGAGAAGCAGGCTCCCCGCTGAGCCGGGAGCCCGATGTGGGACTCGATCCCAGGACCCTGGGATCATGACCTGAGCCAAAGGCAGACGCTTAACCATCTGAGACACCCAGGCGCCCTATTTATTTATTATTTATTTGAGTGAGAATGAGAGAGAGAGTCCATGGGGGGGGGGGAGGCTCATTTGCTGGCCTGGCCCTCTAGACTTGTTTAAGTTAGTAGCAAGTAGATAGATGCAAATAGACATATGGAGGCAAAAGAAAACATTATTCCTATGGAATCTCACACATACTTGTTAAGATTGTGATGACATCAAAAGATTTTGATATTTATCATTAGATTTAAAAGATTAGTTCGTATTTTTTGGTTTCTTACAGAGGGAAAATGCCAACTAAAAAAGAAAGCAGTACTTTTCTATAGGACTCCTGGGTGGCTCAGTTGGTTGGGCATCTGCCTTCAGCTCAGGTCATGATACCGGGGTCCTGGGATCGGGTCCTGTGTCAGGCTCCTTCCTCAGTGGGGAGCCTGCTTCTCCCTCTGCCTGCTGCTCCCCCTGCTTGTGCTCTCTCCCTGACAAATAAGTAAAATCTTAAAAAAAAATAAAAAAGAAAGCAATACTTTTCCAGACTAGGAGCCCATTATATAAATATTTGAAACGGTACAGCACTAGATCCAGAGACACAGCATTTTTATCTTTTGGTGGGCCTCTTCCCATGGTTTCCTTCCTTGGGTTACGGAGCTGCGGTGTAGACGGGGACAGAATGCACGTGTTGCTCCATAATACACCTTCTCCCAGGTGATTGAAAACTTGCATGAACAGCATTTTTAATGGCTGTTGAATGTGGTTGAAACCTAAGCCCAACCAGGGTCTAGCAGGTATTCGTTTTTACCTGTTTTGTTTGTTTTTTTTAAGGTTTTATTTATTTTAGAAAGAGAACGAGTGGGGGGGAGCAGAGGGAGAGGGAGAGAATCTCCATCAGACCCTGCTCTGAGCGCAGAGCCCCATGTGGGGCTCGATCTTATGACCCTGAGGTCATGACCCCAGCCAAAACCAAGAGTCAGATGCTTAACCGACTGAGCCTCCCAGGCACCCTGATGTTTTCACCTGTTCTTTGCCAGTATAATGTTGTAACGCACATAGGTGGGTTAACGCTTTTTCTGTACCTGGGCTTATTCATTGTAAGTTTCTAAAAGTGAGATTTATGAATCCAAAGGTAAAACTGTTCATACGGCTCTTTGTCAGGTTGATTCCCTAAAGTCTACACTGTTATACTCTTTCCCCAGTCCTGGGGTTAGGTGCCTGGAAAAGGAAGTGTGGAAAGTGTACAAAATTACTTCAGTTTTGGGATTTATCTTGCTTTGTTTGGTTTTACATTTCTGTCGTCCCCCCCCCCGCCCCCCGCCACCTAGGATCACGTTACATTCAGTTGTCCTTCGTCTTTAGCCTCTTTTAATCCACAGCATTGGTTCTCAACTGGGGGGGGGTGCGGGGCAGAGATGCCATGGATTTTGTCCCATTGAGCACACTTGGAGGGTCTGCAGACAATTTTGGTGGTCACAGTTGAGGGGGCCAAGGATGCCATAAACATCCTGTAAAACACAGGACAGCTCCCACCACAAAGAATTACCTGACCGAAAAGTCAATGGTGCCCAGGTTGAGAAGCCCTGATCTAGAGCACTCCTACTTTTTTTCATTAGTGACACTGACCTTTCTTTAAAAATTGAAGTGAGGGATGCCTGGGTGGCTCAGTCGGTTAAGCGTTTGCCTTCGGCTCAGATCCCAGGGTTCTGGGATTGAGCCCCGCATCGGGCTCCCTGCTCAGTGGGGAGTCTGCTTCTCCCTCTGCTTGCTGCTCCCCCTGCTTGTGCTCTCTGTCTCTGTCTGACAAATAAATAAAATCCTTAAAAATAAAAAATAAAAATTGAAGTGAAAGTCACATAACCTAGAATCAGCTGTTTTAAAGTATACAGTTCACTGGCAGTAGAAAGGGGGCAAAAGCATTACTGAATTCACAGCATCTCGTTACTACAGATTTTGTTAATTAAGGAATAAATTCATGGGATATCTTTCCATTTATTTATGTTTCCTTTAATTTTTTTTCACCAGTATATTATACTTTCCAGTGTACAAGTCTTTCACCTCTTTGGTTAAATTTATTTTCAGGTATTTTATTCTTTTCAATGCTTTTACAAGTGGAGTTATTTCTTCTTCAGGTTGTTCATTGCTCATGTGTAGAAAGAACTGATTTTTATGTGTTACCTTGCAACTTTGGTGAATTGATGTATTAGCTTTGGTAGTTCTTTGTGGATTCTTTAGTATTTTTTATATGTAGGGTCATGTCATTTGCTAATAGAGGTAGTTTTACTTCTTTCTGTCCAATCTGGATACCTTTTATTTCTTTTTCTTGCCTAATTGCTGTGGCTAGCACATCCAGTACCGTGTTGGGTAGCAATGGTGAGAGCAGGCATCCTTTGTCTTGTTCCGGATGTTAGGGGAATGTTTCAGTCTTTCATTAAGTATGCTGTCAGCTGTGAGTTTTTCATATTTGCCCTTTTTCAGGTTGAGGAAGTTCCCATCTGTTTCTAGTTCCTTGGGTCTTTTTATCATGAGACATTAACTTTTTAAAGGCTTTAATATAGAAACTTTTGTGTGTGTTTTATTCTGACCAGTGCTGATTCCTAAAGAAAAGCCCCCAATCACAGTTGTTGGCGATGTTGGAGGAAGGATTGCCATCATTGTGGTATGTAGATCTCTCTTATTATTATTGTTAATTGTTGTATTTGCCGTTGTTATTCTGTTGAATTATTTGTTAATTGTGTGGGGATAGCGGTGTGGCCAGATAAGTCTCCTTTACGTTGGTACCTTGTGCTACATGTTTACTTTGGTCCAAAAGCAGAAAATTGTTATCATTAGTTTATTAAGAAATTGTAACTACTTAGTTTACTAAATGTTGTGTGGCTGTTTGTCATACATGAGAAATTGTTTTGCGATAAAGGTAGGGTACAAAATTGATAACTGTTTAAAACACTCATCTTCTTGTGCTTCACAAAACCAGTGCACAGAAGGAGTACATTTAATGCCTGTATCATTAAAACAACAATAATATGAATACGTGGGCGCCCCACTGCTCAGCTTGGAAACAGAACGTCATCCTGTCCCCGTGAGGCCACGTTGGCTCTTCCCTGGTCTCTCTTCTCTCTCCTACCCCCAAAGGTTGTCAGCAACCTGGAAGTCACCATTCATGCCCTTGCTTGCCGTGAATGCATGTATCCCTAATGCTAGGTGGTTCTGTTTTTCAGGTTTCTGATGTTTGTATAATGAAGTCTTTGTGTACTTTATGACTTCCATTCAATGCTGTTCTGAGATTTCTCCATGTAGTAACATGTGGTTGCACGTTATTTCTCTTTACTGCTGTTCCTGGTACTACCATGACACAGCTTACTGATCTGTTCTCCAGGCACCGAACATACAGTTTCTTTATTTCCAGATAATACTGCTCTGAACAATCTTGTGCCTATTTTCTGGAGCATACGTGTAAAACTTTCTTGGCACCTGGGAGTGGGGTGGTTGGGTCAGAAGGCACACACATTTCCAACTTCCCTGACTGGTGGCAAACTGTTCCCAGAGTGGCCGCACCAGTTAACCAAGACTCCATAGTGGGGGCCCCATGTTCTCCCCAGTGCTTGTGATTTTGCTTGTGAACTTCTGAATTATAAAATCTTTTCTGAATTACAAAATCTCTGACATCACCCTCTAGGGTACTAACTGCCCATGAATTTATTCCTTAATTAACAAAATCTGTAGTAACAAGATGCTGTGAATTCAGTAATGCTTTTGCCCCCTTTCTACTGCATTAAAAAGATGCAGTAGAAGTAATTTTTTTTTTGAAGTAATTTTGATTCATAGGAAGTAGGCCCTCCTCTCCCCCAAATTATACAGGGAAGTCTTGTGTTCTCTTGATCAGCTTCCTCCTCCTTGCTCAACTGTGGTGCAGTAACACAATCTGGAAATTCAGATCACTACCACCCACACAGCTGCTCCTGATAGGACCAGTGTGACGTGTGTGTGTGTGTGTGTGGACGTGTACAGGCTTCTCACACGTGGAGCTTTGTGTAACTGCCACCTCGGTCAGATACAGAATGACACCATCACCTGAGCGAAGCTCCTTCGTGCCCCGCCTTTATCGCTAGGTCCCCTCCTGCCCCCCCCCCCCACGATCCCTGATGGCTAATCTGTCCTCTGTCTTTGTAATGGTGACTTCAAGAAAGTCATACAAGTGAAGTATACAGTTGGTCAGGCTTTAAGATCGGTTTTTTTCCCCTAGCATGCTTCCCTGGAGATCCATCCAGGTTGTTACGTATATTAGTACACCCTTTTAGGCTGAGCTGTTTTCCATGCAGGTTGGTACCACAGTTGAACCGTTCACCGACTGAAGGACGTTTGGATTGTTTCCAGTTTTCTTCTATTAGAAATAAAATTGCTCTGCACATTTGTGTATGGGTTTTTGTTTTACTTTTTGTGGGATAAATGGCCAAAGGTGCGATTGGCGGGTTGCATGGTGATTGCAAATAGAGTGTTAGAAGAACCTGTCAAACTATTTCAGAATGGCTGTACCATTTTGCCAGTAGCACTTTTCAAGTAATATCTCTGTTTTTCTTCTTTGATTATAGTAATATCACTATACATTTGAAAGGAATAATACATATGCATATAAAATAAATGTGTGAATACTTGTTCAAGTCTAGACGATGCTTGATACCCTAGTGGGCTTAAGATAACTTTGGTAGCCTGGGTGTGATAGGAAAGACTCCGTTTTCCACCTCCTATGTCTCTCAGCTGCATATCCCCTTTACAGTTCACATAAATGTGTGGAGGTTTTTCTCTGTGCTACCAGCTGCTTGTCTTACAATTTAACTCAGGTCTTTTTTTTTCTTTCTTTCTTTAAGCTTTTACTTGAGAGAGAGAAAGCATGAGTGGGGGAGGGGTGCAGAGAGAGTGCGCAGGGGAGCCCGATGTGGGGCTCCATCCCAGGACCCCAAGATCATGACTTGAGCCGAAGTCACACGCTTAACCGACTGAGCCACCCGGGCGCCCCAGTTTAACTCTGTTCTGACACCGTCTACCCAGAGCTATTGTCGCAGACCCGCGGGTTAAGGGTCGGTCCTACAAGACTACTCCCACCCTACTTCAGATGCCATTTGCAAGCACGGCCCCGGCTTACCCACGGCTTCTGTACGATCTGGCCACAGAGCAGACGTTCCCATGACCCCCTTCTCAGGCTGGATTAATTTTGCTAGAGCGGCTCACAGAACTCAGGGAAACCCTTGTATTGACCAGTTTATTAAAGGATGTCATAAAGGATACCGATGAAGAGATACATAGGGCGAGGTCTGGGAGGGTCCAGAGCACAGAATATTCTGTCCCCGTGGAGCTGGAGTACGTCACCCTCCCAGTATGTGGATGTGTTCACCAATCCGGAAGCTCTCCAAACCCTGTACTTTTGGGATTTTTATGGAGGTTTCATCACATAGGCATGATGGATCATTAACTCCATTTCCAGCCCCTCTCCCCTCTCTGGAGAATGGGGGTTAGGGGACTGGAAATTCCAAGCTTCTCATGGCATAGTCTTTCTGGTGAGCAGGCCCCATTCAGGAGCCCACGGGGAGTCACCTCATTAGAATAAAAGATGCTTCTAGTGCTCTTATCACTTAGGAATTTACAAGGGTTTTGGGAGCCCTGTGTCAGGGTCAGGGTCAAAGACAAATAGAACAAATGATGTTCTTAGTGTTCTCATCACTTAGAAATTTGCAGGGGTTTTAGGAGCTCTGTGTGCTCTCTGGGTGGAGACTGATATATATTTTTTACCCTGTCACACTGGGAGTCTGTGGTGCATGGGTGGGACACTACTGGACTGTGTAGTTTGTTAAAATACTGTTACTATAGGGGCGCCCAGGTGGCTCAGTCATTAAGCGTCTGCCTTTGGCTCAGGTCATAACCCCAAGGTCCTGGGATCGAGCCCCGCATCGGGCTCCCTGCTCAGCGGGAAGCCCGCTTCTCCCTCTCCCACTCCCCCTGCTTGTGTTCCCTCTCTCACTGTGTCTCTCTCTGTCAAATAAATAGATAAAATCTTTGAAAAAAAATACTATTACTATCTTTCCCATATGTAGAAAGTGTATTTCCCATGTGCCCAGTGGAGAAAATTCAGAAAATAAGGAAAACCAACAGGAAAAGAGGAAAGGACTAGCTAGAATCAAGCACATTCTGACAGTTTTATTATGCATTTCAAAAAAACAAAAACCCTTCACGGGATGCCTGTGGCTCAGTTGGTTAAGCTTCTGCCTTTGGCTCAGGTCCCGATCCCAGGGACCTGGGATCCAGTCCCACATCGGGCTCCCTGTTCAGCGGGGAGTCTGCTTCTCCCTCCCCTTCTGCTGCCCCTTCTCTCTGTCAAGTAAATAAATAAAATCTTTAAAAAAATCACAAAACACAAAAACCCTTTAGTGAACATTTCTGGAGCCCCAGCCTGCTGAGGGCACAGTTCCGGGCCCACGAGGGATAAGGTGGAGATGGTGGCCCCAGGGAGCCCCGGTGTGGCCGAGAGGCCTGCAGGGAATGCAATGGGGGCACAGCGACTGGCCGTGTCACCATGCCACCCGGATATGTTAGATGGGACAGCAGATCTGCTAGAGTGGGATGACACCCTTTCTTTTTCCGGCTTGTGTGAACCCGCCTTTGCACCGTGTTCATGTACCTCCTGCTCCCTCTGTGACTTGACAGGATGACATCATCGACGACGTGGACAGCTTCCTTGCCGCAGCAGAGACCCTGAAGGAAAGGGGCGCATATAAGATCTTTGTGATGGCGACTCACGGCTTGTTGTCATCAGATGCTCCCCGGCTGATTGAAGAGTCCGCCATCGACGAGGTAACCGCCACGGTCTGGGCTCCGCTGCCCCGGCACCTCTGTGCCTCCCGGTCCCGGTTAGAGAGAGCGGATGAGGGCTGCATTATTTGGTGGTTAAGAATCGATTCAGGGTGCCTGGGTGGCTCAGTTGGTTAAGCGACTGCCTTCGGCTCAGGTCATGATCCTGGAGTCCCGGGATGGAGTCCCGCGTCGGGCTCCCTGCTCGGCGGGGAGTCTGCTTCTCCCACTGACCCTCCTCCCTCTCGTGCTCTCTCTCATTCTCTCTCTCGCAAAAAAAAAAAAGAATCGATTCACACTGTGGGTTATGTTTGCGTTTCACGGACCGGAAGCCTCTGTCTTTTGCGCATGGTACTAGTTTTACTAACTCTCATAAATGGGGCACATAAATGGGGCTGTGCACACTCCCCCCCCCCCCGCCCCCCCCCCCGACTCCATCACAGCCCTGCAGGCTGCCCATCAGCACCACTTTTAGAGAGACAGGAAGTCCTGCATCCGAAAGGCTAAGGGACTTCTTCAGGTCACACAGCTGGTAGGATGAGCATTTATGATGCCAAAGCACAGCTCTCGCTGGTACAGACAGACGCCTGCGGTATGGACCTGGGGCAGGAGGGCAAACAGGGCAGTTTCCCAAGCCACCTGCATCTCACTCAAGCCTGAGGCAAGGCCATCAGGCTTATTCCCCCTGCTTTGTCTGCCCCCCAGGTCAGCCGGCTGATCTGCTTGTCTGCTCTGCCTGCATAAATCACATCTTTATTCTCTCTCAAGAAATGGGAGGTGTTTTGCCCTGGAGATTCCTGGGTATTGAATCCTCCATGGCTCAAACTCCTTTTACTTTTCCGAGTCCCACACTTCTACTCTTTAGCAGGCCATCTCCTTGAGCCTGGCCCTGTGTTCAAGGGTTCAAGGTGCCTTCGCTCAGACAGAGGCCAGGCTGGTGTGGCTTGGACCAGATCCAGCCTCCTTATGTCCAGCGGGACAGACATCCTAAGGGGCCAAGAATACGTGAAAGGTGTTCAAGGCCACGAACTGGATGCGGAATTCACATACTGAGTAGACGGAGAGGACTTCGGGCAGCTGTCACGGCCTGTCCACGTGGTTCCCACGGGTGCTGCGTGCGGGCAGATTTGAAAAAGCAAGCCAGAGGAGTGGGGGGGGCCCTGCGGGACCCAGGCCTCCTAGAGCAGAGTGGCCTTTGGAGAGGAGGCATGAAAGCAGCAGAAATGGACACAAGTGCACCCGAGTCTTGAGGGACAGGCCCCCTCTGCGGATGGGCGCGTTTGTGTCTTGAGAGGGGCCTCGCACTGATGCCCAGAAGGGGGAGTCAGGCCAGTAACTAGTGGCTACACCAGGTTTCTGGGGCGCTTAGGTGGCTCGGTCGTTATGCGTCTCCCTTTGGCTCAGATCATGATCTCGGGGTCCTGGGGTCGAGCCCCGCATCGGGCTCCCTGCTCCATGGAGAGTCTGTGTCTCCTTCTCCTGCCTGCTCGTGCTCTCTCTCCAATAAATAAATCTTAAATAATAATAATAATCAATAAACTGGGTTTCTGTGTTCACTCTGGTTAGGAAGCTCAGGTTTTTCCCGTAAACTTACAGCACAAAGCACAGTGGAGCAGTAGGGTGTAAACAGTGCAGGAGCAGTGGTGGACTCTGCCGGGTAGGAGGTGGAGGTGGGGGACGTGGAGAGGCTGCCGTCCTCCTCTTTCGGAAGATAGTGCTCGAGGTTGATAAACCAAGATTTGAAGTGGGGGTTTTTGGTTTGTTTGTTTTCATTAAAATCCTTAAATGAAATGGTCAGAATAGATAAAGGCAGGAGATCAGTGGTTGCCAGGCCTCTGGGGAATGGTGAGATGAGGAGGGACAGTGAAGGCATGCAGCGTTTCTTTCTGGGGGACGTGCTAAGCCCAACTCTTGAGTGTTCTGAAGACCAGTGAAGCATACACTTTAAATGGGTGACTGGATGGTACGTGAATTATATCTCAATAAAACTGATACTTTTTTTTTTTTAAAGGTTTTATTTATTTATTAGAGATCGAGCACACACAGAGGGAGCGGCAGGCAGAGGGAGAAGCAGACTCCCTGTTAAGCAAGGAGCCCGATGCGGGGCTCGATCCCAGGACCCTGGGATCATGACCTGAGCTGAAGGCAGACGCTTAAGGACTGAGCCACCCAGGTACCTCTCAAACTGGTACTTCTAACAACTGGTTAGAACAGATGTGGAAGGGACGCCTGGGTGGCTCAGTCGGTTAAGTGTCTGCCTTCGGTTCAGGTCATGATCCCGGTCCCTGGGATCGAGTCCCGCATTGTGCTCTCTGCTCAGAAGGGAGCCTGCTTCTCCCTCTGCTCCCCCCACCCCCCGTTTGTGCTCTCTCTCTCTGGCAAATAAATAAATAAAATCTTAAAAAAAAAAAAAAAAAACAGATGTGGAAGATACATCCCCCAGTGAGGGTGGTTGATGCGTGAAAAACCAACCCCTACAAGGGAGCACCGCGCATGGGGCGCAGGTGTAGCGCCCCCCGCCCCGGGTCGTGCCTCACACTGATTCTCTGGGGGGGTTGCAGAGAAGTCTGTGCTTGATACCAGTGGGAAGGGTTTTCTGGGTTTTTTGTTGTTGTTGTTGTTTGTTTTGTTTTTTTTAATTTGGGAACTGTTCTCTTTCACAGGCCATGATAATTTATGTGACTCTTCATGTTTCCATTTTTGCCTCATGTGCCAGGAATATCAGCTACAAAAGGAAGTCACAATCAGATGAGGCTAGGTTTTCATGTCCCTGCTGCTGGTTCTGAATAATTCCTGACTGTCCACCTCTGTTTCAACAGTCTCCTTGTGTATGTGCATCTTTATTATAAGAGGTCTTGACGCTTATTTCAGAAGTAGGGAGTATAGAGTATAAATATAATTAACAAATCATTCCCATCCCTGTTTTTTTTAGGACGGCTATTTTTTTTTTCCATTTGTAGCTGTTGGAAAGTGCTTCTTTGTCTTTCTTTTTTACCAAATCTTAATTTTAAGAAAAACAGCTTTATTGAGATATAATTCACCCATTTAAAGTATAACATTCACTGGTTTTTAGTGTATTCACAGAATTGTGCACCCACCATTCTCCTCCCCCCAGAAAGGAGCCCCGATTCTCATTAACAGTGCACCCCTCTCCCCATTTCTTCTCAGTCCACTCAGCCTTAGGCATCCACTAATCTTTCTGTTTCTATAAATTTACCGAATCTGGGCATTTCATATAAATAAAATCCTGTGATGTGGAACATTTTGTGTCTGGCTTCTTTCACTTAGTGTGCGGTTTTGAAAGTTCATCCTTGCCGGAGCAGGGTATCCATACTTCATTCTTACTTGTTGCTGAATATTTCATCAAATGGATATGCCACATTTTGATTTTTCATTCATAAGGTTATGGAAATTTGGGTCGTTTCCACTTTTTGACTCTTGTAAATAATAGTGTTTTAAACATTTATGTGCAAGTGTTTGAGTGGAGATATGTTTTCATTTCTCTTGGGATCTGTGGCCACTCTATGTTTAACCTTTTGAGGAACCTCCAGACTGTTTTCCAGAGTAGCCAAATCATTTTTCACTCCTCTTGCCAGCAGCGTCTGAGGGTTCCAGTTTCCCCACATCCTCACTGGTAGTTCTTATTCTCTGTCTTTTTGCCTGCAGCTGTCTTAGTGGGTGTCAGGGTATCAGACCTTGACCTAAGAGACACAAGTAGTGGGGGCGCCTGGGTGGCTCAGTCGGTTAAGCGTCCGACTCTTGGTTTCAGCTCAGGTTGTGAGATTGAGCCCCACACTGGGCTCCATGCTCAGCATAGACTCTGCTTAAGACTCTCTCCCTCTGCCCCTTCCCTCTGCACTCGCTCACTCTCTCTAAAATAAATAAATCTTTTTTTTAATAAAAGAAATGAGTAGTGTTCACATTGACTGAAAACATACGGTAGACTCACTCTCCTGTCAAGTAGAACCACAGAAATTTGAGAATATATCGAATTTTCAGATCCAGACAGGAAGCTACCTGGTTCTCTGATGCTGTTGGATTTCTTTCCTCTTGATTTGCAGGTGGTGGTTACCAATACGATTCCACATGAAATCCAGAAGCTCCAGTGCCCCAAAATTAAAACTGTGGATATCAGCATGATCCTCTCAGAAGCCATCCGTCGGATTCACAATGGGGAGTCCATGTCCTACCTTTTCAGAAATATAGGTTTAGATGACTGAACAGCTTTCCTTTCTTTAAACTCCCAAGGGCCAAACTGGAAGCAGAGAGTACTGTGAGGGGTCACGCCTGATTTGATGTACTTCCCAGGGGCCGTCTGTGCTTTGTTCCTTCCTTTTTGTTAATTCCTACGAAGATAGACCAACTTTTTATGTCGGTTTAGGTGTTTGTGAGTTTTTTGGGCGATTTTTATAAAAGAGAAACTATATTCTCCTCCTAAATGAATTAACAACCCTAGTTGTTTGTAGCTTAACTATTTCAACAATAACCTGGAATAAGACTTTTAAGCCCACAGACAGCCTTTTTCCAAAGTTGCTGGAGCCCAAGTGCTTAAAAAAGTTCATGAAATCAAATGATCTATACTGTGTCATACCTGCAACTGAAAAGCCAAAAAGATGATACTGTCGAATCCCAGCAAATGACATTTTTAGAAACGCTTTTATAGACACGCATATGTGAACGATTATTATGCGACCATTATTTATTTTCTGCAACAAAAGAAGGAATAAAAAACTTAACGCTGTGTGTGTGTTTTTTAAACTTTGTGTTTGGGCAATTTTGTAACTAAAATAAAATGAACGCTGAATACACTGTGTGTATTCACTGCTGTGAATGTTGGAGTGTTGGGTCCGCTTGTTCGGTTTTCTCTTCTGCAGCTTGTCATGGTGCACAGTAGTCTCTCAGGGATGTAACGTTTCCTGTTCTGTTTGTCCAGGACCTGCACGTTTCTGATCGTAATCACTTGGCTGTGGGAGGAGAGGAATTCGAGTCGCAGGCTGTGAGCCCCGGGGGGCAGGTCAGCAAGTTGGCGTGAGCTGCCGCCTGCATCTTGGCATGGCTTTGTTCTGCTCCCTGTTCAACAGCACAGCCATGCTCTGAACAAAATGCTACCTCTGCATGCTCTGGAAGATGAGATGCTGGGGCGGGGGTGGTCGCAGAGGGCAAGTGATACGACCCTTGTTAATGTCAGGCATTGAAGAACTGTCTGCCCCGCAGTTCAGAGTGCAGAACTCAGAACTTGTCCATGAGAGTTGTAGCAGGCTCTGGAACACGGGGGTCCAATGAGTTAGACCAGCATGTTCTCCTGCCAAGGTCATCTAATGGCAGTCCCATCAAATTCATGGAGGAAAAGATTAATGACATTCTCACAAAGAAAAGGATTATTCTTTTACTTTTTGTTTCAAGTAAACTTCACCCCCAATGTGGGTCTTGAACTCATGACCCCAAGATCAAGAGCCAGATGCTCTACTGACTGAGCCAGCCAGGAGCCCCAGGACTATTTTTTTCTTCCAAAAACACTTAACCCTGTGGTTTCTGCCTATGTTAGAATCTGCAATTAAAATAGGTGACCTGGCACAAAATTAAGATTGGTCACTTACTGTCTGCCATATCCAGGTTTCTTCGTGCTCCCAAGAGAGCAGCCTGACTCTGGGGGACTTGCTGTGGAGTGGGTCTGGGGCCTTGTGTGTGCAGAAGCACCGAGGGCTGTGCTTCCGGCAGCTGCCCTGGGTACCAGACGGTCTACTGCTCATCTCTCTGTGCTCATCGCACGCAGCAGTGTCCAGACCCCTCCTGACTCGCTGTCTCAGCCAAACAGCCTGTGATGGTTATGCTCCTGCAGGTGCATGAGAGGAAGGCATATTTTGTTAATTACCTAAAGTAATGCACACTGATGCTCGGATCTAATCAAAGTAGAAGCCTGCGCTGTTGACATGGGACATTAACTCTTGCTTAGAACTGTGTGACCTTAAAATGAGCTCTCTCCTTTATACGTTGTGAGCATGGTTTGCTTTGCTTTATGAAACCCTTGAAAGTAACCACATTTTCCTTTTACTTCAAAATGAATAAGCTGGCAGATGTCTACCAAGGATGGTGGAATGGGGAACTCCAAAAGTCTCTTTCTCCATAGAAGCAGAGAATAAATTGGCAAAAACAGAATCGACTTTGTTGGAACTCTAGAAAATAAAAGTTTACAGCAACTAAGTAAATGGTCAGTAAAAAAACAAAACAACAATAAAGAAAAATGGCTGAATCTTGAAAAGATTGCTTTGTGGCACTTTAACTTACCCTGGTCCCATTCATTTTGTGCTTCCTGGCAACCTTGAAGACAATAGCCTGCATTCCTGGTACATGTTCCTTGTACCAATGGGAGTAGAATACTGTTCTCAAAGAATTACGGTTATTTGTTTGGACCTGTCTACTGGCTCCTTGAAGAACTGGCTCAAAGGACTTGCCTTTATTTTATGCAACTCAGAACTCTTCAGAGCAGAGGGACAACTCTTAAGTTTAAAGGCAGATGTATTAGCCACTCCTCTTGGGACAAACAATGAAACCATTAAAATCTTGGGAGGAAAGGCTAAGGAATGAGACACTTCACGGGGAAAGGGCTTTGAAAATCTCCCACATGAATGGGAGCGGGATATGAAGAGTGTGGGATTGCACAGAGTTGAGGACATGCTCAGAAAAGACTCAAGAAAGCTTTAAGTTCTCACCTCTGGCAGATTTGCAGGCTCTGTGCAAGCAAGAAGTGAGGGCTAAAGCAGAGTTGTAATCTGCCCAGCTGAGTGTTGAAGGCATGTCGTGAGACATGCAGCCCATCTGCAGACGGTTATTTTTCCTCCCTCCTTCCCTCCCTCCCTTTCACCCTTTCTTTCTCTCTCTCTTTTTTTTTTTTCTTTGTTTTCAGGCTTAAGGAAGCCTGTGATGACTCACATTCAGTTGGCCAAACAGAGATTTCAGTTACCATACACAAAAAGAATACAGACTTTACAAAAATTAGTTCAGAAAAGCCACTGAACAGACAACTACAAGCAGCAACAAACCCTGGGGAAGGAGGAGAATCTGATTTCCAGACTTCCCACATTATAATATTAAAAATGCCCAGTTTTCAACAAAAAAAAAAATTCTGGGCCCACACACAGGAAAAAAAACTTAATAGAAACCATCCTTGAGAAAGTGCATACATTAGATTTACTAAAGACTTTAAGTCAATGGTTATACATATGCCCAAAGAGCTAAAGGAAACCATGAGAAGGATGGCTCACTAAATAGAGAATATCAATAAGAGATAATAAAAATGAACCAAACAAGATTTGGGGAAGACAGTGGAGTGGGAAGCACCAGGAATCTGTCTCTCCACCTAGACAATTGCTGTGGTAAGATTTGATGGTTTTGAGACTCCAGAATCTATCGAGGGTTTGCAACTCCAGGTGGAGTCTTGGGCAGTAAATTGTTAATTTTGGTCAAATTCAGCTCTTAGTACAGTTGCAGATCTCTGACCCCCATACACGCACTCCCAGACTGGTGGCAGGCAGCCGTACCCGTGTTCCTGAAGCCACCTGCACAGCTTGTGGGTGCTGGGGTGGGCAAAAAGGACTCCGTCCTCCAAATAGTGGAGATCCGTGCTCTGACAGCTGGTTGCTGCTTCTGATCACGGAGGTGTAGACAAAGAGGCTGGGAGCTATTGTGATTGCACTTCCTTCATTTGTTGCAAGCCCTCCTCCTCCAGCTGATGAGAATTCTGGGAGATTTAAAGGCTGGTCTCCTTATTCCCAACCTGCACCTCCAATTTTCTCCTTTTCCCTCTTTGGGAGCCAGACATTAAAGATTAGGACTCCTAATTCAAAAACAACTGCATATACAGGGAAAATTAGAAAGTTACTGCACATGCTCAGAGGATATGCAGGCCCAGAATAGAACTGAAGAGACCCTAAGCTCATCCCTCAGGTTGATCCTTGGCACAGAGACAGGCTACAACAGCAACTACTACCAAGATGACTTTAATGAATACTGGGGAAGGGAGAGAAACCAATTTCCAGGGTTACCACATGATTAGATCCAAAAATCCAGCTTTTAATTAAAAAGAAAAAAAAAAGCATGCAAAGAAACAGGAAAGTATGGTCCATTCAAAGGGAAAAAATCAACAGAAATTGATTTCTGAAAAAGAACTGGTGGTAGATCTGCTAGACAGACTTTAAAGCAACTGTCTAAAAGATGCTCAAAAAACTAAAAACAAACCCAAAACAAAACAAAAAACAGATGTGGAGAACAAGAAAATAATGTATGAACAAAGCAGGATATCAATAAGCAGAAAACCTAAAAAGAAACCCAAAGAAATTCTGAAAAGTACAACTAAAATGAAAAATTCACTAGAGGGATTCAAAGGCACATTTGAACAGGCAGAAGAATCAGTGCACTTAAGAAAATGAAACTAAATCTGAGGGACAGAAAGAAGATTGAAGAAAAGGAAACAGAGCCTAAGGGGCCTGTGCGACTCCATTAAGTGGATCAACATACACATTGTGGGAGACCTCCTCCAGAAGGAGAAGAGAGGGGAAAGGGGTAGAGAGAATATTTGAATAAACAATGGCTGAAAACATCAACATTTTATGAAATACATGAATATAAACATCGAAGAAGCTCAATAATCTCCAAGTAAGATGAACTCAGGGACACCCACACCAAGACACATTATAATCAAACTTTAAGAAGTCAGACAAAGAATCTTGAAAGCAGCAAGAGAGAAAAGATGAGTCTGTAACATACAAGGGATTCTCAGTAAGATTATCAGATTTCTTATTGGAACTTTGGAGTTCAGAAAATGGTGGGCTCAAGAATTCAAAGTGCTAAAAGAAACAAAAGATGTCAACCAAGAATTTTATATTTGACAAACTGTCCTTCAAAAGTGAGGGAGAAATTGAGACAATCCTGGGTAAACAAACACTGATGGAGTTCATTACCACTAAACCTGGTCTGCAAGAAATGCTCAGAGGAGTGCTCCAAGGTGAAATGAAAGAACACTAGATAGTAACTTGAAGCTGTATGAAAAAACTATAAA